TTCTTTTGTGTAGAACGCGTGGGCGTCTAATCCCACCGCGAACGCTTACGCTTTCCGTCCGGTGGTTTGGTGGACGCTGGAGGCGGAGGTGCTCGGAAAGTCTGGTCATTCTCACCGGAGGCGGCGTCCTGTTGGCCAAGCAGCTCAGGATGCGTGTACCGCGTGGCCTCGATGCCCGCTGAGATAAATCTTCGCTGGTACTGCGCGGCAAATGCCGCTTTCATTGCACTCAAACGGTCTGTCTGATGGGCTATAATATAGAAAAGGAAGTAAATGACCTTGGTTATATGGGGAAACATGCATGTACGTGGGGCTGGAGTCAACCATACGCCGGGACCTGTATGATGAGCAGACTGTTGGGTTAAGCTTACAGGAGAGAGCAATGATTTACTACAGAAAGAATACATCGGAAAAATTGGCGGCCGGTAACCGTACTAGCGTTTGCAGTCAAAAGTAAATCTAGCTAGTGGCATACCACAAAACTGGCACGAAGCCAACTCCCTAAAAACGAAAATAACGGGCGTCTAAACCACACAACACCTTAAATGCAACTCCGGAAGTGACGCTTCACCGAGGGCTACGACATGCTATTGTTTTCTTCTCAGGCGGTCACATGGTAATAAACAAAGCAGGGAGAGAAAACATAGAAAGGAAAGCTAATGATATTTAATTGGAGTACATTTAACACAACGATGAGGAGGGAAAAGTATCATCGTTGAATAGTCGCAGCGACAAGTTGACTGAGTTGAAACGTCCGGAAAAAGCCGAACATATCCGCAAAGCCTCTTGGGGTCCTAGGTTCTGACTCAAAATTCATGAATGAAGCAGTAATATACTAAACTCACAAGGGCGCGCCTCAGATACAGGTCACCCGTAGTTACACAAAATTTAAGTAGGCGAAAAAGCAGTTTAAAATAGGGCAAAGAGGTGCAGATTATATATTCCACGAAATCCAAGTTAAAACTTGTAAATTTTCGTAGCTACATCAATAGGATGCTTTACGCGTGTGAAGGAACGAGAAGACGCTTTGGAAATCGAATGCACAGACACGTGCCAAACAAAAGAGAACGAACACCTCATTAAACATCAAAGAAAAGACAAGAACACACGCTATTTGAAAATCGAAACACGGCGAAAACATTGATGTTTCGATATAAGAGCAAACAAATTTTGATATATTTATAATATCCATTAAGGGCCTGCGTCGGAACTTTATTTATTTAGCCAGCAATTGGCGGGTAACCAAGTTATGCAGTTTGAAGGTCAGGCGGGCAGGATGTGGTTAGGAAGTTATATCGGTAAATATTACCGGCACAGACAGTGGCCTATTTGCCGTCGTTAGCCAGCCGTATATCGGCCCCAACGGTAGAGCATCTTAGTCCCAAGCTGAACGTCAACCAAAACAGAAACACAAGTACACTTATTTTGCTGCATACACTCTACGGAGAGGAAATGCATATGCAAACAGGTACATCTTAGACCTAAACAAACCTGGAGATGCTGCTACTGTAGCAGGTCCCGCTGATATAGGAGGCCTTGAGACCGGGGCAGATACTGCCGGCGTCGATGCCGCAGCGGAGGACGACGTTTCAAGGGAGCCAAGACCGGCCCTCTGATCACGCCTTTCTCGGGGTTGGAAACCGATGCCGGCGCGTGGGTTTGCGGCAGAGCCTCCACTGCGATTGTTTGCAAACCAGACACACTTCAGGGCTACA